CTTTACCAGACCGGATATTCCAGTCCAAAAATTTCAGCACTTATTATAAAGGGTAAAGTATTGAAATCATCGAGGATAGAAAAAAATTTGCACAATTGCTGATTTGTAAAAATGAAAAATGTTAAAATATTACTCTCTGTATAACTTGTTTTATTTCAATCTCCTCCTCATATGTTTCTCTGTTGAGTCTTATGTAACTTGAAGATAAAATTGAAGTAAAATCAAATTTCACGATGCCAAATGTTTGTTAGCAGCTGCCGTCATAATTCTGTCGCTAACTCTGTTAACGTCGTCTAGCAGAAAACTTGAGTATGTCTGACTGACCAGGTGCTTATGTGTTTCTTAGAGTAAACAACATGGTTACAATGCGAAGAGGAGAGAAATGGCTCGAGCTAGGACGCGTCTGCGCCATAAAAACCGAAATGCCCTTACTTTTTTCAACCCGGATAATTGAAGGATTCGGAATTTGTGGTGTCCTTTCCTCAAAAGTTCTCTTTAAAAGTACCCCTACTACGTTAAAATCAATCAACCAACGCTACATGTAGGTATAACTAATCTGGGTGCTATACCACATGTTTCATAAAAAGTGTAAATTTTTAGTTTTTGAATTTTAAAATGATAAATAAAGACAGAAAAATTTACCCGTCGGTGTGAATGCACATCCCACTACCAGCTTCAAAAAAATGCAAAAACTAGCGGCTCAGAAAGTGCATTCAGCACCATTTTACCATATATGTTTAAAAATATGTCGCTTCTTAAATTTGCGTGCAAATACAATCAAGAAACAGTATTACCCATCTCAAAAGGGTAACAATATTTGGCTAAATTCCTCCTTTGAACTAAAATTCAATTTTGAGAATATAGTTTACTTTACGACCTGCATGGATTTTATCCGATCGAACCAGTCGCACTCGACTACCGTCCATTCTCCGGAAGCATTCGGTCGCATATCTGAAAATATTGGTTTTATTCCCTTTAACAAAATGCTCTCTAGCAAAAAAACATGTATTATAATTACCCACACGATAACAAGTCCACAAACGGGGGACTAATGTGTGAGGGGGGGGGGGCAAAATTCACGAACCCTCCTATAGCACTTTACGAGGTTGATTGAAATTAGATTGAAAATGGGTAAAAGCGTTTATCTTTTAGTAGTCAATCGCAACCCATGTGGGATAGACGATGAAAACAATTAGTACGATGAGATTGCGCTGGCTCATGAATGAAACAGAAAGGGCCTTCATATAGTGCACGCAAAAAAGAGTTGTGCATGCGTGTTCCATAGAATTCTAATTAAATGTCACTTTACTATTTTTTGAGCAGCTTTGTACCTAGCAACGCTGATGAACTCTACTTATGCGTGGTACACTTATCCAGGCATATAGGATGTCCCAAAAATGTGCTCACTGCTTAATCGTTGATAACTGTTTTAATTCCAATTTTTGTAATTCTTAATGATTCATTTTGAAGACCTTACAGTCGCATTAACATGCGATTACAGTATGAGTCCATAGATGGTTTTAAATCAGCCAAAATCATCTACAGATGTATATCATCTACAGTAATAATCAATTTGTTGCCAAATCTTACTGGGTCGAAAAGTCACCATTTTTGAGCTCAGCGTACTGCATAGCCCTATCAGAGAAGTTCAGAACTATCAATAGGCCAATGCTAGTAGTGA